TTTTAGGCCACTGAATAGCACACACAGACACAGACGGGGTGGGGGGGGCTACACTTTTATTAGACATTTGTATCATCATCAGCCATGGTCAATCCACTGCTGGATGAAGGACCCCTACAGCTGCTGCCATCTCTCAAGATGGTTGGCGAAGGGATGGGAGCAAGATGATATCACTCGCCACTGAAGTCAGCTGCGCCATCATCCCCAATAAAAAATCCGAATATTTGAGCCACCAGCTACCACTGGTATGTGTGCAGTATGTATGTATAAACGCGTATGTGTGTATATAGCTGAGTGCATATGTACCCTCGCTCAATAGCCGTGCTTAATCAACGTCACGGTTCATAGCCTCCGTTATATATTTTATTATTTTGTGAAAATTATAATTGGGCTGCTAATTCGATCTGGGAAATGCACACGAGGGGCACCGTCACGCTGCCCAATGGGTGGTGGGAATTCCAGCCGTGACTGCGCTGTGCCAATGTGAGCTACGGAATGTAAACGCACATGGGGGGGTCCAATCCTGTCTACAAAATGTGAAGCATGCAACCCTACATTTAAACCATTATGCATGCTATACATAAATTGGTTAGGGGTATAACAATCCGCCCCCCCCTCCCTCCTTTTCCCGATTCGGTTAATTCCTGCAAATCTAACGACCTCTTTGGGGTCGGAGTAAGAACAAGCGGCGAGGGGTGAGGCTTAGGGTTCTGGGTTGCGATCGAGCTCTGCGTTGTTACCGTGAGGGTTCGTGGATCACACAAATGCTGCCTTCCCGTGCGTGGCCGAGCCATGCCCTGGCTCGCCAGGAGGCGACGGTACAGCCAAGCAAGCGGGGACTAATCCAGCACCATCTTAGATTATTCGTTTAAGCTGCTGCTGCGTTGGCAGTGTTTGCGCAATTAACAACAACATCGGCACATTCGTCAATAACACGTCTGTGGCCTGAACAAAAATATATCTGTAATAGGCGACTTTTCAAGCAATGGCCCTTCTTCATAGCACATACATCAATCCGTTTGATCTGTATCTGTTCGAGTGTTGCCCCCTCGCACGCATGGATTTTATCCGGGTGCTGCGATTTCTTTCAACGTGTAATAAACACTCATTCATCGGCTGGAAAACATCTTCATCTATATGCGCCTCCGTGTGTTGCGGATTGTGCAGCGATGCGAGATGCAATTTGCATAAATGTCGCCCATCTGAAAGCGCTCGTTATTATTAATAGGGTTTGGGGGTTAGGGGAGAGAAGGCCGTGGGGGTGGGTGGAGCGAGCGGAAAGGGAGTAGAGGCGAGATGAGATGGGAGAGGCAGCTAGCTGTAGGGGAGAGTCGGCGGCGAGTCTTGAATACGCAGTGAGTGTGATCTTGGAGCTGGGAGATCTAAAGAGTAGGGTGATGCGATTTCATTTGTGGTGGCGTTCTGCGTGGATCGTCTCTATATTTTGGAGCTGAAAGGAGAGCGTTCAGTATAGGCTGGTTTGGATAAGGTATTACCAGCGTAAGGCACTACCAGGAGAGTACACACCAACATATGTCACTGGCGATATGGATGTGTGGCGTGCCCTCCCGCAAATGGGTTCCAGACTGTTCCAGTTGAAATTAAATATTATATATATACACCCAGATATACATTTTGATGGGGGAATACAAACCTTTGAATTATTCTCTTTGGTTTTTTTCGGTAAAGTCACGTAGAAATAAGAAATAATAATAAAATTACATAGTAGCATACGACGTTTCGATTGCAACGTCGTATGCTATTATGTAATTTTATTATTATTTCATATTTCTACGTGACTTTACCGAAAAAAAACAAAGAGTAATTCCTGCAGTCACGAAAGCACCAAATCAACTTTGAATTCTTTTTACGAGGGAAAGGGAGCCATGTTGGTGGTATTTTATTGTAAGGCTGGAGGTGAGCTCAACGGTAGTTGTGACAACAAGAGGAACAGAATCCATGACCCCCTGACCTCAGAACTCGATAGCTGATACAAGAACATCAGGAATTAACGAGTCTTAATGTACTCTCAATGCTCTCCAAACTCGTTAAATAAAGCCTGTAAGGCACAACATGTCACGATTAGATATCTCCATCGTGACGTGGTAGGCAGTTTTAAAGTTTACGTAGGCTCGTGCACGTTAGCTTACAGCTGATACCCAGTGCTTAATTTCAGCCGCAAGTCTGGAACGCTGTTCCGGGAATTATTTTTTACTCTAATGGCAGTGCCTTGCGCCAATAACGCCGACTCCAAGCCAAGCCGAGCAACGTTACGGGAAATATATAATTAGAAAAATCAAGCCTTGGAGATTGCATATCATTGGAAGAAATTTAACACGAAGGCTTTTGAGACCAATATCACCCGTAAGAGGTTATTATTGGAAGATATGTTTAACAAGTGTAATACAATGCTATTGATTGTTGAGGGGCACATATATTGGCGTTTCTGTAGTGCCCCCTGCCGTCAGGATGTTGAGTAGAGACGTGGATCATGAGAGCGGTGGTGTCGTGTTTAGCACTACGGCTAACCCAGGTTCGATCCCCACTCACGGCCACCATCGGTTACGATTATCTGAAACAGTTCTGGGCCTCCCCTAGCTCGGCTCAACCTCAAATGAGTAACCTGGTGCGGTGTGTAAACATCGCCACTGGGGAGACAAAGGCGGCCGGGCGTGGTGCTGGCCACCCACCCCCTCGTGTGCCGGTGCCGCCCTTCAACAGCACTCGCCCCAACAGTCAGTTACAGGCTATACGGGGTATCTTTGTCTTTGATTATCACGTAAACTACTTATCTACTGTATGTTCGATTTGTTCAAAATTGACCAACATTTAATCGCTTAATTTTAAAATAAGAGTTAATTCTTAAAACGTACATTGTGTTTGTGGGCTTAGTTTACTCTCCGTGAAATTAAGTGTCGACATTCTACCAAAAAAAAATTAGCATGAAAAAAATCGACATTCTAACCCTCTGGTGGGCAATACGAGTCAGAATACGAATCTTTATTCATACTGGAGGAATCCGATGAGCCACAAAGCTATTTTTCGCAGACGCCCAAGTTAAGCGCAGGGTCATAAAGTTACGACTGGGTGATCGAATGGATTCCGGGTGATGTCATAATTCCCCACCATACACCGGACACATTTAACTTGCGAAAGTATAGGAAAGGCGAGCGAATCAAAAGTTTAAGGAAGGGAGGTTGTTCGCGATAAATGTGTTGCGCGGATCTCAGGAACGTAAAAATAAAATCAGAACGCCGACGACCATCGCCTCGGAGTGGCGTGCACAGCGCGATTGGGCGGTGCTTTAGACCCCGTCCCTTCCGCTGGTCACGTGACTCGCAGCTCGGAGTCACGTGGCGAGCGCGGGCGCGGAAATGGCGGGTGAGGAAGTGGCGGGTGAGGAAGTGGAAGTGGCGGGTGAGGAAGTGGAAGTGGCGGGTGAGGAAGTGGAAGTGGCGGGTGAGGAAGTGGCGGGTGAGGAAGTGGAAGTGGCGGAAGCGGGTGAGGAAGTGGCGGGCGCGGGTGAGGAAGTGGCGGGAACGCGGCGAGCTCGGACGTTTGCATTCGAATCCGTGGCCATCCGCGATTCACAGAGTAACGAATCCACCACGTCCATCTCGAGCATCCGCCAAGAATCGTCAGAGCTACACGATGGTTATTTCGCCAAACGTGATGACGATAACTTGAAGCGCGAACGTACGTCGTAAGAACAATAAAACATTTCTAGATTTAAAGCTTTCGTGACTGCAAGGATCCATACTCTTTGGTTCTATTCGGTAAAGTCACGTAACAAACAACAAAAATAAAAAAAATCACGAATAAAACATTCTCAACAACGGGACGCGGTGCTTGCTCGGGTTAGCGGGGGAAGGAGGGCGTTCGGTTTCTGCGAGCCGAGTGGTGACCGCGTAACGCTGTCAGCAACGTTGTAAGATACACTTCGTCATTGTGTATTCGAAACGTGGTTGGTTTAATTATTCATTCTTGTGCGGATGGCTGTTGGGACCAAAGTTAATCTCGCACGTGGCGAGGCCCGAAGCGGGCCAAGTCTGCTGCGTGCATGGTGGAGCTTTGAGCTTAGGTTTTGGAATCTGTGAAAAAATAATTTTAAATACACCCCCGACCCCCACTTGGTGTTTAACCCAGGCGTATGGTTTTCAAGTGGTATTTTCGTGCTGTACGTAGCCAACTGTGCTAATCTAAGGTGCGGGGGGAGGACAACAATATGAACACAAATCAGTTAAGAAATTCGTTTTCAATCCATGCGATTTAAAGGTGCACAGCTCCCAGTGGCTTTATAATACGGGAAGGAAGAGCGTTCCAGACGGCCGCAGAAGCGCAGAAGGTTCTCTCCACCCAACCCTGCCCATTGGTCTCTTTCTCAGCCACCGGTTTCCCCTCTCGTTTCTCTTTCCCGCAAAATAAATCTTTACCAGGTCCTCTTCCTCATACATTTCTCCGAGATTCCAGACCCCCCCCCCCCCCCAGTGACAGCCGTGATGTGTATTAATTAAAGTCGAAAGGGGTCCTACTAACATGACTCTTAACGTGACCCCAGATTCCCAATGGCGCGCAGTCGAATGGGAAATCGGAGCCGTTCCGAACACTGGTTGTAAACCATTAATTTTCGTGTTCCGTAATGAAATTCCCCCACCCCCCTCCAATGAGGATTCGGTAACCGGTTAATTAAAACATTCACGGACCGTTGGGTATACTGTAGTGCCGTTAGCGAGCACCGATTTGGGGCCTGAACGTCACTCGAGGGGGGAGTGGTGGCCTGCACCACGGCTGGCCGCCTTTGTCTCCCCAATGCCGATGTTTATCCACCGCACCAGGTTCTCATTCAAAGCCGAGTCGACTGAGAACCGGTTCAAATATTAATCACGATTTTGGTTACAAGCAGGAATCGAACTTGGGTGGACGGGTTCGTATCGCAGTGCGCAGACCACTGCTCCCCACTTTATACGATGGCACGGACAAATCCACACGTAGGTGACATCTGCTTAGCACTAGAACCTTTATTTCAGCCCTCGTGTTTACATAATTATATTCTACATATAGCTTTATATGTTGTAGAGTTATACATTTCATGGCATTCCAAGCACATTAAAGACAAATTAGTGTATGGCGTTTGTGAGAGTAGTGACATTGTGAATGTTTTGTATTCAAGGCAACATCGGGGTTTTTTTTAGTGTATATGACTATTTGTGATACACAGCACATGTGTGTTGAGTCTAAAGGTGTTGAATACCCGCGTGTTGGTAGGGTTTTTTTTAGATGTAAGGATCTGTTTTAGGGGTGGCGCAGTGGTTAGCACGTAGCGCTACGAACCCGGCTACCCTAATTCGATTCCCATTCACGGCCGTAAAATTACCAATGCCTTATCTGAACTGGTCCTGGGCCACCCCGAGGTTGACTCAGCCTCAAATGAGTACCCAGTGCGATATAAACATTAGCAATGGGGAGACAAAGGCGGCGTGGTGCTGCCCACCCACCCCCTCGGGTGCCGGGTCCAAATTGGTGCCTGCTTATGGCACTATCCCAGTCTGTTAAGGCTAAATGGTGATCAAAGTTTGATTCCCAGCCACGGCTTACATCAGTTGCAAGTGATATCTCAGATAATCCTGCCAGGGTCTCATCTAGGTGCAAAGTCTAAAGTTAGTATGTGCGTGGTTTTGGCCTCGCTGTGCAGAACAAGAGAAGGTGTCCAGTTGTAGCACTTGCCCCAACAAATCTAAGGCTTTATGGCATACCCGTGTTTGTATTAAAAGGTGTGCATAGCTATACAGATGACAATGTGCAATGGACATCTACGGGATATTTCCCCCACGGATTGTGATATCCATACACAAAATCTTGAGTTTTTTTTATATATAGGTTGTCTTATTTAATTCAGTTGTGTGTAATGGTGCGTTGTACTTGCAAGGCTGTTGTGTGTAAATACATGTTTAAGGCTGTTATTTGTACACGTTATCTTGTATGTGTAAGGGTGTTGACATGTGTGTTCATGGCATAGTGTTCAACCACACGATCCTGTGCGCATGCGTACCCATGCATTTGGCATAATAATTCGGGCACTTACCTAATTTAACGTGTGATTACAGTACTGCAATACCAGTGAAAGTTACGATGGTCAAACGGTATCATCACAAAGAGACAGCTTCCTCGTTCCGTAGGCACAGTAAGCAGCAGACAAGCTCCCCCCGTCCTACCAGAGGCATTGGCACCTCGTGTTCAAAGCACACCCTGGCACGTGTACACTATCATGGGATGATGAAGTGCGAGGAAAAGCGCGGAGTGAGAGGTGAAAAGGAGAAGTGAGAGGTATGGAGAGGTGGAAAGCAGTGGGTTGGAAGATGAGGGTTGGTAACTGGAGTCTTTGGAGATGAGAGTTTCAGAAGCTTTGAGAATACAGACTGGGTTGGGAAAGGGAGGGACACGTTGGCAGATAGAGAGATATGTTTGGATAGACATGCAGGGAGATGGAAGCTGGATTGTCATAAGATATATTGGGAGATAGATTGGGTTGGAAATGTAAGGAAGGAGAGGTTGAACATCTAATCGTCTCCACCGCATAGGCTGAGCAAGATCTTCTTGTAGTCTCCGGACGTGTCCCCCTGGAGACAGAGACACAAGGGAAACAACTCTTACACAGCTTGATAGTCTCTGATTCCCACAAACTGTAAACCCAGGAATGATAAAACATGACCCCAGCAAATAGACTCCAAAGATCACGCTTGCATCCGATTGAACATTGACCTCTGGGGACTTTTAACCTTGATTACCCATGAACCTTGGGAGTGGCCTCGAATCTCCAACTGTGAATCCACAAGTGCTAACTTATCTTGGCAAACACTTGCAGTGGATCTTCTTTGGTTCTTTCGGTAAAGTCACGTAGACAGTCTCGCCCCCTTCACCTGATGAAGGCCGCTTGTGTTGTGGCCGAAACGTCGTGAGAATATTATTGTGTTATTTTATTTTATCAATTTATTATTTTATTCTCATTCTACGTGACTTTACCGAAAGAACCAAAGAAGATGAATCATTGCAGTCACGAAAGCTTTAAATCGAAACTTGCAGTGGATGTTGTTACTTCTGAACCCAAGTTAACTGTGACCTCTGATCTCAATGACCACAGGTGGCACTCACGGCGATGAAGGAGTGCAGCGACTTTCCATAGAGCTGCTTGAACTCGCGGCGGATGTCAAAGAGGTCGACCTCACAGCGTGACACCATGATGCGTATGAGCGTGCTGTCCTTGGTGCCTAAGCCCTTAGGGCGATCAGAGAACCACAATCACAACCACCACTGTACAGTCACAAACACAACGGAACTGTACAGTTACAAACACAACCGAACTGACAATGACACCAGCACAACCTCAATTAGAAATGCACAACTACAATGGCACCTCTTTGAAGTGTTTGAAATGCACGTCCAATATAGTGGCTGTACCTTCATGGACTTGTAGAGTCTCTCCGCGAAAAAGCCTTGGGTGTTCCGTAAGCATTTTACTAGGGGGGAGGAACGGTGGGGGCAGAGAGGGCGGTATTGGTATATTAATGACAGTGATTCTGGAAAATACTGGGATCCAGGACTGGGTTAGTGAGTATGGTTGTTAAACTTGTTTTATTAGCATTTCTTGTGAGAAATTAAGGGAGCTGCAGCAGTGTTATGATTAGCATACTGGATCTCCATTTCTGAGGTCACCGGTTAAATTCCATCTCTAAATAGTTGAAACAATAGAAAATAGTTCTTTAACGCCCCCTTCCACCTTTGTTCACCAGCAGGATAAATGAATACAACAGTCAAATTGGCAAGGTGCATATGGTGGAGTCAATGTGAACAAAAATCTACACGTGTATAGTTCAACTGATGGGATAAACAATGTTATTAAACCTGACAGATTCAATCTATTGCTTGAACTTTGGCCATGGTTGTTTTGATTAGCTCTCACAATACAAGGTTTCCCTCGATTAAAAAAAATACTCAAACCAAATTTTATTAAACGGAATGGCTTTTGCCATTAATGTAGTACTAAAAATTAGGGGTGTGTTCCAGAGTCATTCCAACTACTCCGAACCTGAAAATATACATCTGTATCACTTTTTACAATACAAAAATAGAGCAAATATGAATGCGATTTAATAATAATGAATTAAAAACAAAAATAATGAACCTTTTCAGGGAATTCGCCCAAAGATATGCATGTTGGAATGACTGGGAAGGTGATGGAGGTGTTACTGTTGCACTGTAGGGATACCGTGACACGGTCGTGGATTAATGAGGTAGCCTTCCGTGAAATTTCGTAAATGCGGAAATTCGATTTTGTGAATCTAAGTGTCCATAAATTGTCAATTGCATAAACGCGAAATTTCGAACATTCGTAAATCCGAGGATACCTGTATGCATTGGTGTGTTTATAGTAGTTTTTGGCAATGAGTATATGTTAATGTATGTTAGCATTTCACGTGTTTTGTCTAACCAGGTAAGAACTTAAAAGATCATCAGTCTCTCATTTTCAAGAGTGAACTGGGTCACCGGAACGACAAGCATTAGCATAAAACAAGTACAGCAATGAAGCAAAAATAAATCCATGCAAAAACAACCACATGAACGAAGAAACCGACAAGTGGACAGACACGCCAACATTACAGGTATCCCTTCATTTATCAACGTTCGGTTCACGCAATTGACATTATGGACACTTTAAGATGAACAAAATCGTATTTCCGCATCATCGAAAGTTCACACGGCAGGCACCATGAGATCAAAACAATAAGCACCCTCAGAGGCTGTGTGTCACGGTATCGCGACAGTGCAACAGGGAACACCTTCACATCACCTTTCCGGTAATTACAATATGCAGATCTTTTGGTGATTTCCCCGAAAAGGTGAATTTCGTTTTTAATTAATCATTCGATCATTTTTATATTTGTTATTTATTATTATTTTTGTATTGTGATATTGGTGTATATTTTTAAGTTAGGTGTTGAAATGACTGGTCTGAAACATCCCTCATTTTTAGAATCAAATTAATGGGAAAAGCCATTCCTATTTTACAAAATATTTTTACGCGTGTTTTTTGAAGAGCAGCGGTTTCGTAAAGAGAGATACCTGTATTTTAAGTAAATTTCCTGTCATGAATTTTGGCTTTGACAAATAACCTTTGAAAACCATTCAGAGTTAAATGTCAGCGAGTATATGGTAGTGTATGCATGTACATGATGGTGTAGGTGAGTATATAGTAGTGTGAATGTATTTGAGTAATACTATTAATTGTATGCATGTATATGGTAGTGTGCCATTCTGTGTTGTGGTGAGCCCATCTTACCCACGGCCACCATTCCATCCTCCAGACTGCCTGACATCTCCCTCTTAATGCTCTTCTCGATGTCGTGTTTGCTGATTCTGCCATACTCCTCAAACACTGCAGAGACAGAGAAGCCAAGTTCAAAGGGCAAAAGAACGGAGCTGTCACGGGGTGTGGCGACAGTTGAGAACCACGCATCCCTACACTGGATTCTGTGCACTATTTACATGGACATGTGTCCCAATCTGTTTCATATAGGGTGCGTGAACATTCCTCAACATATCCACATGCATCTTCGCACACTCTGCTCGTATTAAATAAACTATAAACAGTGCAGTCTTGAAATCGCTATGGTTCCCAACTTTTGCCACACCCTATACAACATTTTAAGACTCAACTGCAGGCAACATCGATGCCCTCATTACATATATCAGATATAGGAATCCCCCACGTCATTCACCGATTGTTGGGGCAAGTACTGTCGGTGAGCTCATAGGCCGGCACAGCACGTGTCGGCAGTGTCGCCGACATTGACTTTACTTTTCCATTACGGATGGTTTTTACACCGCATCAGGTGCCCATTTCAAGCAAAGTCAATTGACGACAGGCTCTTGACCAGATGAGATATCACTCACTATGGAAATCGGACCCAGGTTGCCGGGTTTGTTTCGAAGTGCACTAACCGCTGCACCACTACTCCATCCTCGTACATCAAAACATGGAAAAGCATTCCACAAGGGGTCTCTTTTCCTCACACCATATTCACAGTACCTCGTGTGAAATCCATCGTTGGTTTACATCGTTTTGTCTAATACTTGGGTTTATAGCAGGGGTGGGGAAACCTGAATGCCAAATAGGTGTACATATTTTATTTTAGCTAGAAGAACCTTATCAGCTATGAAGCTGGTCGGCAATGGTGGACATTCACATATACATATCTGTAGGCCTTTCAAAGAGCTTTGGCAGGCAACTACACATTAAATACTAACAAAGGGAACAGCGCTCATGTCGATAATACAAAGGGGGCCGTTGCAGTGATGGAAGTGACTGTGCTCAACTTAGAAACAAGGTGTTGTCAGGTCCCAAAGTCCCTTCTAGTATCTGATTAGCACAGCTAATATGCTTGCAGTGATGGATAAATATAATTTGCAGGCCCTTCCTCCAGCAGTGGCTACCTTGAAATAAAAGCTGAAGAGTTAGCAGTGAAGGGTCACAAATGTAGAGGTTCGGAGGAAGGTTTTAATGCTCAGGGTTGAGGTTCAGGGGGTTAGGTTTAACGTTAAGAGGTCAGTGTTCACGGTGCGTGTTTTGGGACAGCAATGTGGTGAGCGGTCAGGAGGGTGAGGTGAGGTTACCCCTGAGAAGGTGAGCCTGGCTGCGTCCACACAGGATGCTGTTGAACCGTGATTCGTCTGTCCCTATGCGATTCTCCCCTGCGGCCAGGAGGTCCTGTGAGGTTTTTACACGAGTTATCAAGTGCAGACACTGACGCTTTCATATGAGAACATCAAGACACTTATCCTGAAACCTGGTCTCTTTGAGCCAAGTTTCAAGACACTGCTCGTGAAATATGGAGTTGAGTCACGACCAACCCTGACATCCAATCTCCTGGAGCAGAATCTCAACATACTGATCCCAAACCCTGGCCTTCTTCCTGAGCTCGAGGTTTGCATAGATACGCACCTGTGCATCCTTCTGCACGCGAGCCATGTCCACCGTGGTGCTTTCATCTCTGCCTCCCTGACAAACGCACGCACAGGGATACAGAGGCGGGGGGACACAGGGACACCATCACTAAACATGACAGGCAAACCTGATTTTATACAAAGGGGACCAGCATTGTGCTATAAACCATGCATTTGATTCCCGGCTATAGCTAACATCAGAGGGAAGTGATATCTTGATCTATCCTGGGCCTTCCCTGGGTAAACTCAGCCTCAAACAAGTTAGTTGGTACCATGTTAAAATGTCAGCCCTGGGGACACAAAGATAACCAGGCATGGTGCTGGCCATACCAGCAGCTGTTGCGCCATGTCCGCCTTAATAGGGTCTCCCGAACAGCATTTGCTCAAAACACTGTCTTAGTTTTTTGTATGTTTACGTACGTTTGTGCGGTCGGGTGTACACACATTTGCTGGTGTGTACGTCTGCACATTTCCAAGCAGCACCTACGAATATTTAAAAGCGTGTACATACTGGCACGTGTGTGTATGTATAAAGTATGGGGGAGTGGTAGTGTAGTGGTTAGCACACTGCGCTATAGCCACCACCAGTGACGATTATCTGAACCGGCCCTGGGCCTCCCCTAGGTTAGCCTCAAATGAGGACTTGGTGCGGTGTGTAAACATCGATACTAGAGAGACGAAGGCGGCCAGGCATGGTGCTGGCCACCCACCCCCTCTTCGTGTGCCGTGCCGACCTTCATAAGTGCTCGCTAACAGCACTTGCTCCAACAGTCTGTTACAGGCTACACGGGGGATCTTTGTATAGTAAAGTACGTGTGGGAAGTGTGCACGTGCGTCTCACCTGACACAGCGCCACCAGGAGACGCTTGAAGTTGGCGGACGTGTCTGACATGATGTCCTGCTCCAGCGACCGTTTAGTCACTACCGCCCAGTGCACACGTTCATAGGCATTGCTCGTTAGTTCACTGTTCACCACTCCTTAAGAATCACGTGCACCGTGTGGCGTATGTTTTGCGAGTGGTGTGTGTGTTACGTGCTTTATATGCGTGTGTTATTTCCTTTGTGGTGTATTTAGATGTGGTGTGTTATATTCTGTGTTAAGTGATGTGTGGTGTAATCAGTGAGGTATGTGTGCGTGGTATGGGTATGTGTGTGGTACCTGACTTGTAGTGTTTGTTGATTTCATGTATCTCCTTGTTGGATCTTGATGCCAGAATCTCAATCAAACACTCCTCATCTGTGCCGGCACCCTGCAAGCACATCACACACGTATACCCATTTCTTTACAACTGCTTTTTGTGTTTATTTGCCTTTTCCCCGCACCCCCGATTAGCACGGTTGGCTATGTACAGTGCGAAAGTTAAATATACATAACACACCCAATACATATAGCATACACCATTATATATACACACACAGACCACATGTATTATACCATACACCATTATACACATACACCACACCCACTTCACATAATTCGAATAAGTTTCAGCCCTTTGACAATCTGCCGGATGAAAGCAGCTGTATAGGGGTGTTTAACCAATCTTCCCCGTGCTATAATGAATAAAAAATACCAAAAACCATACATACCACACAAATCACACCAAACTTAAACCTTTTACAAGGAATCATGTCTCTATTAACCACAATACTTGTGGTCAGAATGCAAACAAAAACTGATAATATATGCATTGTCGATTTAAAACTTTCGTGACTGCAGGGATTCATATTCTTGGTTCTTTCGGTAAAGTCACGTAGAAGGGAAACAATAAAATAATAAAAATATTTTTTTTATTTTATTGTTTCCCTTTTATTATTTTATTGTTTCCCTTCTACGTGACTTTACCGAAAGAACCAAGAATACATATGCATTGTCTTTGAAACTGATTGGTCCACACCAGAGACAGCTTTGGCGTCCTCTGGTTTAACAACGTTTGGGACTAGGCTCGGCTCAAAAAGAGAGCTATCTCTGGTGTGGACCAATCAGTTTCAAAGACAATGCATATATTATCAGTGTTTTTTTGCATTCTGACCACAAGTATTGTGGTTTATTTGCCTTGTAAAAGGTTTCAAATTGGTGTTTTAACATCTCAACACATTTTGATTTAAAGCTTTCGTGACTGCAGTAATTCATATTCTTAGTTTTTTATATATATTTTGTTATTTTGTTGTTTCTCTTCAACGTGACTTTACCGAAAAAACTAAGAATATCTCAACACATGTTTTGTTATTCTTGGTTCTTTCGGTAGAAAAAAGGGGAAAACCTCATACCACACAAATCTCCTTTGCCCTCTCTCCATTCATCCATCTCGCTTCTCTCTCTCTCCCTGCACCCCCCCTCTATAACAAGGGTGCGGTTCCTACTAATACGGCCTGTGACTTCACTTCATGCAGCCTATGGCCACCACTTTGAAACGGTTCATACACAATATTCACTGTTACTACAAGCATCTTAGTCGTAATAATTGGGTATTTTAGGGTGATCATTTTGACCTGGTATCAACACTTAACATTTTAGCATGCTTGGCCACTTCTGTCACTGAAAGGGTTTATTATCAGTGACAGAAGTGACTTAGGTTGTGTGTGTGTGAATGTAGCCGGTTAAAGGTATTGTGGGCAGTGATAGTGTAGTGGTTAGTGCACTGCGTTACGAACCCTGTAACCCGGGTTTGATTCCCGCTCATACTTAACATTGGTCCTAGGTCTCCCCTAGGTCGACTCCGCCTCAAATGAGTATATGGTGTCTTGTGTAATCAGCCTCTAGGGAGACAGAGGCGGTCAGGCGTGGTGCTGGCCACCTACCCTGTTGTGTGCCGTGCTGGCCTTTATAGGTGCTCGCGAACAGCACTTGCCCCAAGTCTGTTAAGCCTGCATCGGCGATCTTTGTCTTGTTTGGTCAAAGACATTGGGAAATCCTGTATTTGGCCCTCAGTAAAAATAGGGTCCCCAAAAGGGCTCCCCATCCTTCCATCACCTTCTCTTCCTCCATCCCACCCCCTCTCCCGATCCTCTCAATCCCTCCCAACCCCTTTTTTCTCCCCCGATCCACCCCCACATGCCACCGTGCGGTCACCTTGATGGCCGCCTGAATCTGGCTCACGTCGTACTGCGTGGGCGTCTCCAAGAGTGCCACCACCACCAACTCGAAGTTGCCCGACAGCTCCGACTTGAGCTCCTTCACCAGGTCCTGTAGGCAAAGCAGAAGCCTTCAACTCTCCAGCAGCCTTCACTTACCAATTACCTTCACGCACCAGGGACATTCACTCACCAGGTGTCTTCACTATCCAGGGCCTTTCACTCGCCACCCATCAGGGACCTTAACGCACCATGCAACTTAACTCACTCAGCATCCAACTACATTCATAATGGTGGTGTCTAAGCCACAGCCAGCGGTCTACATATTTTTCAATTCTTCGGGCGAAGTTCATAATGGCTCTATCAGAGCCATAGAGCCAGCTCTGTTAAAGTTCTGGGATCAAGTCCAGGCACAGGGTGTATATTAGTCAATAGAGAGATGAAGATGAGAACAGACAGAATGGGGTGAAGGATGATGGTAAGAGTTGGTTGTTATGGTAAAAATATGAAGACAGAGGCATGGAGACATGGGATGTGATGTGAAGGGGAGTAGGTAGTGAGCAATGGGGGAAAGGAGAGAATTGGGAGGGTATGGTGGGGAGAAGGCGAGAAAGCTGTACCTTGCCGTAAGCCGTCTTGAACGAGAGTGCGATCTCCTGCCGCTGTTTGTTGCTGCGCGCTGTGAGAACGTCGATGATGGCTTTCTCATCCGTGCCTGAGCACGCACGCACACAGCCACGCACATTCACGACACAAACATTAATACATGCGCACACACATGCTCATTTACATTTGCAGAGAAACTTGCGTAAAATTGTATATAAAGACAAAGATCCCCCGTATAGCTTTAACAGACTGTTGGGGCAAGTGCTGTTAGCGAGCACCTATGAAGGCCAGAACGGCACGAGGGGTGGGTGGCCAGCACCACGCCCGGCTGCCTTTGTCTCCTTAGTGGGGATGTTTTTTACGCACCACACCAGGTAGTAATTTGAGGCTGAGTCGACCGAGGGGAGGCCCAGGACCGGTTCAGATAATCCTCACTCGTGTTGATCGTGAGTGGGAATCGAACTCGGGTCGCCAGGTTCATAGCGCAGCGCGCTAACCGCTACACGACCGCTCCCCATTATTGTATAAACTAAAGTGTACACAAAATATACTAAAGTGTACACAAACGTCCCCCATTTAGTCTTACACTCTCGGGAACACTAATTTTATAAAGAGCCAATTATAATAACCGGCACAGCAAATGGGGTGGTGTGGCCGGTAAGGATATAACGATGCACTGATTAATAAATTCAAATCAAATTGAATGCACACGATCAAATATTGGCACTTGCGCCAAGCTAGGTACACTATCAGAATGATTATTTAGACTGGAGGAATCCTTTGTCACTAGCTTGGAACAAGTGCCGAAAGCTCACTGGCAGGAGGTCACGGGATAGATCCTGGTGTTATCTGTTAATAGACCAGTGTGACTGGCAGATCCATCACTTGCATTCACCACTGCTTAGGACAAGGTGTATACATTTGGGGCAAGTGCTGTGAGTGCTTATTAAGGCTGGCATAACACATGCGGGGGTGGCATAGTCTGCACCATGTCTAGCTGAATCTATCTCCCTCGTGTTGATGGTTACACAATGCACCAGATGTTAATGTTAGGGTGAACTGATCCAGGCTCAGATATCACTCGCCACTTATGTCCATGGCTGAGAATTGAACCCAGGTCATCAGGATTGAAGTACAGTGGGTGAACCCCTATTATCACTCCCCCCACTAAAATACAAAGATCCCCATGCAGCCTTTCAGAAGCTGTTGGGGAAAGTGTTATTCGCACTAATGAAGGCCAGCGCAGAAGTCGAGGGGGTATGTTTACACACCACACCAGGAACTCTACGAAGGCTGAGTCGACCTTGGGGAGGCCTAGGATCAGTTCAGACATTTACCACTGATGTTGGAATATGAACTCGGGTTGCTGGATATCGTATCAGTGTGCCCTAACCACTAACACCACTCCTCACATGCACATTTGAACAAACTCGGGCACACACACGTGTACATTTACACAGCTCTCATACAAACACAAACCTCTGACACTTATCCCATACACGCACACACGCACTCATCTCATACACGAATGCCTGTTAAACACCCACAAACAATCAAAGACAGACTTATACACACACTCACAAACCCCTCACCACTACCATATACTCAATCATCTCGTAAGCACATGTCTTTCAGACAAAGATCCCCATTTAGCCTTAACAGACTGTTGGGGCAAGTGCTGTTAGCGAGCACCTATGAAGGCTAGTACAGTACACGAGGGGGTGGGTGCCCAGCACCACACCCAACCACCTTTGTCTCCTTAGTGGTGATGTTTACACACCGCACCAGGTACTAATTTGAGGCTGAGCCGACCTAGGGGAGGCCCTGGACCGGTTCAGGCCATGAGCGGCAATTTAACTCGGTTCGCCGGGTTCGTAGCGCAGAACGATAACCGCTGCACCACCGCTCCCCTATACACACACACCAACTCACCAAATCCCTTCATTGCTTTTCTTAGCGTCTCCGCGTCCTTTAGAGCATTGAATCCCGACTGTTCCTTAACCGTGCCCCGTCCTTTCTTCTGCAAAATGAAAGGCAAAAATATTTATTTCACTATTTCACCTGTTTGAGAAACGTGAATTTGTCCAAATGAGTCTGTGTCTTACTGCTCTAGTGAGCATTGGGTAGTGAGAATTCCACATTCCACTGATGTTGCCACTGATGTTATGTGGCCAGGAATTTAACTCGGGTGGCCGTGTTAATAGCGCAGTGTGCTAACCACTGTGCCACTGCTCTGCCCTATAGTCTGTTAAAATGTGAAATGATCAACTTTAATATAATTGTGTGCAAATCACAACACAGCTCTCAATGTGTGGTCTCCAAAACAAATTTACAGATGTACACAATTTCAATATACAACCAGTGGCAGGATATTAAATTATGCTTTCTTAAAAAGCACTGGGAGCAGTTAAAATGCTGAGATGCAGAGTAGGAATGGGTAATGTCATACATATGAAAAACATCAAGTAAGAAACATTTTTTTACGATCCATTAATTGGAAATTTAATCACTATTGTGGCTATTAGGAATGCCATGAAGGTCTATTTAACATATTCCTGGAGGTGAACAGGTGGCTTGTCAGACTAATGCCCAGTCAAAGCAATGAGCTGACGCCAGTGAAATCCTGAGTTTAATCCACAGAAGAAGCCACCCTTCATTAAACTGGGTTCTCAAGCCTTTCTTTTCCTACTCTGCCTTTTACTCTACGATTTTACTCTCGAGAAGAACATGTTTCTTTACAATGTCGTGAAATGTGGTTGCATTTAGACACTTAAATCAATGTAGTATTGTGTTCTATAGCCACAACAGATCCACCGACTAACAGAGACCCTCAGACGTACAGCGAGGGAAAAAAGTATTTGATCCCCTGCTGATTTTGTACGTTTGCCCACTGACAAAGAAATGATCAGTCTATAATTTTAATGGTAGGTTTATTTGAACAGTGAGAGACAGAATAACAACAAAATCCAGAAAAACGCATATCAAAAATGTTATAAATTTATTTGCATTTTAATGAGGGAAATAAGTATTTGACCCCTCTGCAAAACATGACTTAGTACTTGGTGGAAAAACCCTTGTTGGCAATCACAGAGGTCAGACATTTCTTTTAGTTTGCCACCAGGTTTGCACACATCTCAGGAGGGATTTTGTCCCACTCCTCTTTGCAGATCTTCTCCAAGTCATTAAGGTTTCAAGGCTGACGTTTGGCAACTCGAACCTTCAGCACCCTCCACAGATTTTCTATGGGATTAAGGTCTGGAGACTGGCTATGCCACTCCAGGACCTTAATGTGCTTCTTCTTGAGCCACTCCTTTGTTGCCTTGGCCGTGTTTGGGTCATTATCATGCTGGAATACCCATCCACGACCCATTTTCAATGCCCTGGCTGAGGGAAGGAGGTTCTCATCCAAGATTTGATGGTATATGGCCCCGTCCATCGTCCCTTTGATGTGAAGTTGTCCTGTCCCCTTAGCAGAAAAACACCCCCAAAGCATGTTTCCACCTCCATGTTTTACGGTGGGGATGGTGTTCTTGGGGTCATAGGCAGCATTCTTCCTCCTCCAAACACGGTGAGTTGAGTTGATGCCAAAGAGCTCCATTTTGGTCTCATCTGATCACAACACTTTCACCCAGTTGTCCTCTGAATCATTCAGATGTTCATTGGCAAACTTCAGACGGGCATGTATATGTGCTTTCTTGAGCAGGGGGACCTTGTGGGCGCTGCAGGATTTCAGTCCTTCACGGCGTAGTGTGTTACCAATTGTTTTCTTGGTGACTATGATCCCAGCTGCCTTCAGATCATTGACAAGATTCTCCCGTGTAGTTCTGGGCTGATTCCTCACCGTTATCATGATCATTGCAACTCCACGAGGTGAGATCTTGCATGGAGCCCCAGGCTGAGGGAGATTGACAGTTCTTTTGTGTTTCTTCCATTTGCGAATAATCGCACCAACTGTTGTCACCTTCTCACCAAGCTGCTTGGCAATGGTCTTGTAGCCCATTCCAGCCTTGTGTAGGTCTACAATCTTGTCCCTGACATCCTTGGAGAGCTCTTTGGTCTTGGCCATGGTAGAGAGTTTGTAATCTGATTGATTGATTGATTCTGTGGACAGGTGTCTTTTATACAGGTAACAAGCTGAGATTAGGAGCTCTCCCTTTAATCTCAGCTCATTACCTGTATAAAAGACACCTGGGAGCCAGAAATCTTTCTGATTGAGAGGGGGTCAAATAACTATTTCCCTCATTAAAATGCAAATCAATTTATAACATTTTGACATGCGTTTTTCTGGATTTTCTTGTTCTGATTCTGTCTCTCACTTTTCAAATAAACCTACCATTACAATTATAGACTGATCATTTCTTTGTCAGTGGACAAACGTACAAAATCAGCAGGGGATCAAATAATTTTTTCCCTCACTGTACATAGAAACCCATAGACTTGCTGAGACTCGGGGATTCCTTTCCCCTGTTCAAATTCAGGCTCAACTTTATTGAATGACCTATTAAATTTGCCCACCATTCCTTGAGATGCATTTGCATTTAGACAAGACAGAATTCCACTTTGTAATGTATAAAGCTGCAGTGCATCAGCAAACACCGGAAAAATGCTCACCGATGGACACTTTGTTGCTGAACATTAATGTAGGTAAAGAACCTGAAAGCTTTGTATAGGCAGACCAAGCTTCGAGCTACCCCACAGAATGCCGATTCGTTATAGGGCTCTTCGTCCAGGATACATTTTTTTGAGTGAAAAAAATGTAAGAAAATCCAAAAAGCGTTTACGACTGAGAAGACGCAGCGCCAAGGAAACGCACCCGCCGTCACCATCTTTGTTTACATTTGCACAGCCAATGAAAGCGACGTACGCTGTGAGCCAAGCAGTGCTGGCCAGTTAAAAAAAAAAACACTCCACCTTAGTCTCTCTTTGCCTTGTGTGTTTTTTGTGAGCATTTTAGACCCATAATTTATGAAAAAGCCCATCAATTTGGATGTTAAATGCAAGTGATAAGGCTCGTCAAGACAGGTGGCCATCAGGTGGATGTGAGTCATGAGTACAGTACCTAATACTTAACGATATAATAAAAAAAATGTATTCATAAAATGTTCACCATCTGCATTATTAGCTCTATTAATGATAACCCCAATGAAGCCCTCATGTATTTCTCATACGTAAGAAATAACGCTTTTGGGAACGCATCCCCATATACACAATGGTGTAATAACCCCTTTTAGCGCCGATTAGTTTAGTGCTTCCACAGGAATTAATCTTCAGCGCTAAGCAAAGTCTAATTGTATTGCATTCAATATTCTGGGTGAAGTGCCGCTCATGGTGCTGCCCTGGCTGTTCTGGCTGACCCTGGGGCTTGTGGTTGTGCACAATATCTGCTGTATTACCAATGCCCCCTCTGTTATTGGCCACTTTGTATTCGGGGCTGTGCTTAGAAAACTGTGATTACAAATTTTAATCCCAATGTTCTCGTTGCTAGCAACCTGGGTGGTGTGACCAGCTGTTCCACATAGGCCTCACCACAGGGGCTGCGGTAATGGTGGACGGAGTGGGTGCTGGCTGGGTGCCTTGGCTCCCTGCACACACACGCGCACAAATACACATGTTTATGAAAACCATGTACAAGTAGACATGCACATACACACAAATATTCCATGTTTGGCCTGAGAGACAGAAGGTGCAAGTGCTATAAATGAGCTAATATTAAGGACAGTGTGTCATGTAAGGAATTGGTGTGGCCAACACCACTCCCCGACACATTTGACTCCCCAGTGCTGATTTGACTCCCCAGTGCTGATGTTTACACACTGCAACAGGGACTTATTAAAGGGCAAGTATACCTAGGAGTGGCCCAAAATCGGTTCAGATATCACTTGTCACTGGAGTTAACCATTAGCCACTGCAAGCTTGCTCCCCAAGCACAATAATCATAAGCATATAACCACACGGCACAGAGACTGACACATGCAACACAAAAGACAGATGTGACCATATAGCCTTTAGACTGTTGGGGCAAGTTGTCACCGCACAGGCACACACAGATGTGCACATACACACTGGTGCCAGTGTGCACCGACACTCGAGATGACGCAAATGTCAATTGCGGTCACTCTGTTAAGCGAGCGACATGATCACATGCGTCATCAATACGGAGCAATTTCCCCCCCACCTCCACCCAATATTATTCCGTTTGTGTTAGCGGTACAAAGGTATGAAACAGAGTAAATTTTTAATTCTCATATAGCACAGAGCTATATCTGAGATGTCGTCAGGTGACCTCTGGGCCACACCATAGGGAGTCACACTTGCTCGCCTGCTCTGCCCACTCACTGAAAGTAATATTGTCATATGACAGTCAAACTGATACTTTTAATTCTCAGAGCTGGAAATTAGCTAAATTATGCATAAAATCACATTTAACACAATGATTTGATTGTATAGTCGTTGGTGATCGGGCTGAAACCAGAAACCTGCTACACTTGAAAACCCAGTTTAACCACAGGTCTAAAATAATCTTGCTGGCTCTGCATTCCGACCTCTGCGTCACCCAGCCACCTCAACAAGGAACGACGTGAAAGTAGTCAACTTTGCCACGGGTGATCGTTCGGTGCCAGCCAGCGCGAGTCTCAGTTGAATTTTCCCGGTTTTACCCTGCACGACTAGCCAGGACCGGATATCGAACCACAAAAAGGATTCAGAGGAGAGGGCCAACCTTTGCATAATCACACAGGCATCGGTAACGGATCTGCTTTGCGTCATCTTAGCTCAGTAGTTTCCACTCCTCCCTCAAAACTCACCTTTTTCCCAAGCTCACCCCATCTCCCCCTCGTAACCACTACCGTTCCTGCTCCCTCTTTATAATCTCATTACATGGCTACCACTCATTCTCCATTCATCATCATTTGCTTTCATAAATGTAGCTTTTACCTAATTCACGCATCACAGATTTGCCCATTACTTCCTCTCATCTATTTTATTCACCTCATCTCCATCATTACATTCATATGTACCCTTCTTAATTCTTTGTAAGTTAACATAAGACTATTAAACCATCATAGATAGTTTTTAATGCGCAATTGGATTCATGACAAATAAAATCGAACAAAAGCGGCCAAAGTAGCACGGGAAGAGGTAGATTATGCTTAGTTTAAAGAGTGATATGTAGGCATTCACATCAAAGCATGGGCTTGGGAATTATTTACAATTCGCATAACTCATGCCAATTATATGCAAATGTGAATTACTCAACTATGAAACCCTATTTGGAGTGCTGGACATACGCATGCACGTGTGTAATGAGTGAGGATGGAAAAAGTGGCATGTGGGGATGGTAATGGTGTGTGGATCTAACAATGAGTCATTCTTGCCACTCATTGCCACGGGGCTTAATACCATGCCAAATATAACTTGTGATCGTCACTCTGATGTGTTTGCAGACATGTCGGATGCCTCTACATTTTGTAGCACAGATAGGTAAGTGACATACACTCTCTAGCCCGATAGGCTTTATATTCTAATTAAAAAATGCTGCTCAACCAATGTTTGTGCTTTATAATCTTACAGGGACCACACTGTGGCTTCAATAAAACTATATGTAAAAAGTCATCCATTCGTGTATGGGTAGATGCTTGACTTAAGAAAAATATGCGGGCTTGGACAGGACACGTTGCTGGAAGGAATTAACAGCAGTGGTCGAGACTAGTGAGCACGAGCAGCCAAAGGAGAAAAGAAGAGAATGTCCACCTCGGAGGTGGAGTGATTACATTAGCTCGGGTGTAGAAGCGAGATGGATCATTGTTTCGCAAAACAGCGAGAGATGGCGATGGCATGGGGAGGACTTTAACAAACAGTGGATGGATCATGGCTGGTGATGATGATGAGATGCTGGTGGGGTGGCACTAGAACCAGCGACCCGAGTTCAATTCCCAATCATGGCCTAACGTTCGTGGGGAGTGATAACGCAATCGGTTCTTGATGCGCCCCCTTCACAAGCTCTTACTGACCAACATGGCGAAGTATGGTCAAATAACCCCCACGACTGAAACAGCATGGGAAGGCCTTCATCCAGCTGTGGATTAGCAAAGAGCTGTTTATTATTATACATGTATGCCCACAGAGTGAAAGACAGACCTGCAGACAAATCAAGAAACAAAGGTACAAAAACAGACATTACAAAACTTAAAATCACAGCCACCGCATATACAAAAATTAAGATCTGCAAGATTGGTGCAGAAAACGAATGGATACATTGAAGATGCTTTGGTCTCACCATCTACAATTAAACCACCGCCAAACTACTTTCAAATTACCACACCTTCGATTAGCAGTTGGCTACTTGCGGTGCAAAAGAAGTTCAACATACATACGTTAAACCACAACCAATATCACCCATTAAACCATCAGACTACCATCATACCACTAACAAACCCTGCGCCATTACTCTTTGGGCAGTAACAGCCCCCCCTGCCAACACACCCACCTGCAGAAGATCCGTATGGTTGTTGGGCTGGTGGAGCTCCGTAAGGCTGCTGGGCTGGTGGAGCGCCATAAGGCTGCTGGCCTGGTGGAGCCACATAGGGTTGTTGGGCTTGAGGAGCGCCGTACGGCTGCTGGCCTGGTGGAGCCCCATAGGGTTGTGCTGGTGGAGCGCCATATGGCTGTTGAGCAGGTGGAGCCCCGTATGGCTGGGCAGGTGGAGCCCCATATGGCTGTTGGGCCGGTGGAGCCCCATAGGGCTGAGTGGGAGGAGCGCCGTAGGGCTGAGCACCGTACGGCTGAGCAGGTGGAGCGCCGTACGGCTGAGCTGGTGGAGCGCCATACGGGAGTTGTCCGGGAGGGGCCCCGTAGCCCATTCCAGCAGGACCACCAGGAGGGAACATTGCAGGATTCGGGCCAAACATTCCACTCTGGGCCAGGTTCCCGGCCTGGGGAGAAGAGCAACAGCGGTAGTCATGATAGTTGTATTATTTGCGGTGGTCATGGTTACGATGGTAGTGATGGCGATGGTAGTGGTGATTTGTGGTAGTGGTGGTGGTGGCAGGGGTAGCAGTGATGATGGTGATGGTGGCGATGAAGGCGGTAGTAGTCTTGGAAGCAATAGTGATGTTTATTTTGATGACAGTGATCCTAGTGGTGGTGATAATTATCGTTAAGTGGTATTACTCGTGGTGGTTTTTGTGGTGTTACTAGTGATGTAGGTAAAAACACTTGGAAGCCAGCAGTCATAAGAATTAAAAGATTACAATCGAGAGTTCTAGTGGTGAACAGCCTGCTATCTTTGTCTGCTCTCTGTAGAGCAAAGCACATTGCAGCATACCATGGCCATACCACAGAGAGTACTCTTATCCATTGTCATACCACAATAAGCCACACCATGAATCACATTATCCCACATCACAGATCATACAATTCCACACCACACCAAGGCGTGGTATGGGTACAGAATAGGCATGGTGCGGAATGGGGTGGTATTGTGTGGTGTGTCATGGGGTGGTGTGATGTGGCAATGTGATTGTGCGATGTTGCATCGTGCCATGGTTAGGAATGGCGTGGTATGGTATGGCATATGCTTGGTATGCTATGGTGCGGCATTGGGGTGATGTGGTATGAGGTGGTGAGCCACAGTGTGGTGTGTGATTGTGTGGTAAGGTGGTGTGTTGTAGTACAGCATGGAGTGGTGTGGCCACTGCTTGGTACCATGTTTGAGATTGCCGGATTGAATCCAGCTGGGATGTTAAAATTCCCCATATCTGGGAATCCCATGGGAGGCTGAGAAGGGACTCCCCACCCTGCTCACTCGGACCACACCATGCAACATATGAAACACTCCAACATGTAGCAAGCACACGCCACATACAAACAACACAATCCATAATGCAAATCGCTACACATAACACATAAATGAAACACACTTCACTCTATGTAACAAGCACATAACCAAATAAAACTCACACCACTCCACGATGACAACAAGGTTAAGTAAATCACTTGGGCTCGACATCTGACCACCTCCAATGTTGGTGAAATTTGGCACAATTGTAAGTACCGTGGAGACGTCATAAAATTCCATATTGGAGGTCAGTTGGTCACACAGCTACCAAATCATGGGTTATTGAAAGCGTGACCTTTTTCAGATGCCCAAGGTCAACATTACGAGTCATAGCTCCATTATATTTGGAGCTGCAGAGAATACGAAGACACCAATGGAAATGTATGTCAACCTTTTCCAACCATCTAAATAAACAAAGGTCAGAACTCTGTTTTGATTCTCAAGCTAACTCACACTGAGCGACACTCCCTATAATCTACAGAAAATAGTCGTCTCGAGCAGCCATTCATTGAATATTAACATGTATTAATAATTGGTTGTTTAACAAATTTTGATGTACATTATGGCTCAGTACATAAAGTGTCCAGCTTATTTTTTGTATAGCCATGTTGCCCAGGGTCTGGGGAATCTATGCCAACATAGTTGTTGTTTTTTAAATCCAAGCTGGTTATTTTGATCAGTTATGGTCACAAAACCATTAACTTTTAAAGACAATATCTTGCATTTCTTTAATTGATTGTAAAGGGCTGAAACAGACATTTCTAATGTTTTCATTTTATCTCGTCACTTCATGAATCAGACTTGTAATGTTAAACTTATTTTGCACGTATGTAGCCTACCGTGCTAATCGGAGGTGTGGAGAAGGACCACAAGGAAGTTTGAAGGAAATGCGTTTTCTGTCTAGATTTAAAAGTGCATAGGTCCAGTGGCTTCCTAATATCGGAAGGAAGAGCATTCCAAACGAATCGTCGGGCACCTGAAAAAGGTCAATCTTCGATGACCCATAACTTGGAAGCTGTTTGACCCACTGACCTCCCACTTGGGAGTTTGCCCCATCCGTATTATACCTAAAACTGTGCTATTTTAGACGTGGTAAAACATCATATTTTGAGTGATCTGCTGTGAGATTACCCTAACCAAATAGCGAAATTACCCATTAACCATACTTGTGTTCTTGCATCAAAACTAAACTATTTAAGATAATTGTATTATTTATGGTGAAACTGGCAGCACATGCATTAATGCTATAACATACTGTCAAGTTTCGATGATTAGAAGACATGTAGAGGGTTAATGTGTGAATTGCGTTTGAGAAACTTTAAAGTAATCTTTATTTGTGCTGCAAGGACAGCAAAGCATACTAAAAAATATGTTAAATATCATTACAAACTTATGGGAAACTGGTATCCCTATAAGCATATGGTGAAAATGTTTATTGTAACATCGTGTTGGAATGTCGACAGTAAATCCTTAATATTTGCGGGTATTTTTTACAATCTTGGTTTTGCGTATTCGCGACATTTCATCGAGTGGCATTTGATTTTTTTGCTGGGTTGTATTTTAAATATTCACGGTCGTAGCACGCCACTACCCAACAAGAATCCGCGAGGCATGGGAGCAGCGTACATCGTGAGAGCACGGAAGTGGGCCCATGCGATACTCTCTCAGTCTGCCTTTGCCTGCCGCACCGTTTACACGCGAATTGCTTCTTTCCTTTGCAAGTTTTTGGAATTACTGTATATTTAATTATGTATTGATTCCGTGATATTTGCACCTTAAAATATTTACTTTCATCACTATTAAAGGCAAGTTAAATAACACAATAGTGTACGATAAATATGGTGAAAATGTTTGTTTAACAGTAATCTATGTTTTTACCCCATTACCCCTATTTCTCTCAAGTTTTAAGCATTAATATTCGCACTGTTCTCCAGGAACGTACCCCACGCAAATGTTAAGGATGTACTGTATAAAGTAACAACACCACCATGTGTGTCAGTGGTTGCATGATGGCGATGACTCCATTCAGTGGCACAGAGCTCATTTACTGGGCAGCTGTGGACCGAACAACCTTCATCGTGAGGCCCTTTTATTACAGGAGGATCGGTACTCACCGCCTGGGTAACCTGGGTAGCTCATGTCCCCTGCAAACGCACACAAAATACACACACTCACGTGCATCAAATACACACAAACAAGCATTGACACACACCAACAAACACAAATACATGCACAAAGTTAAACGTAAGCAGACAAATACACACATCGAATAAACAAATAATGTTGATCATCGATTATCCAGCGCGCGTTTATCCGCCTTCCAACATTTTCCTGCGGTCTCGGGCCGATCAGGCAAAACTGCTCCAGTCTGGCGATTGGCACCATGTGCATGATAACAAAAAAGTAGCGATGCTTGATTTGAGTATAAAATATTATATACATTACATTATAACCATACAATTTAAACAATGACAATACTGCACGTGTATACATTGTGCATGACTAATAGTACAGTAATAAAAACAAAATATACAGTGCGATCCGGTGAAAAGTGCGTTGTGTAATTCGGCATTCGCATCAGTCCGGCGATTGTCAAACACAAGTCGTTGAAACAAGAACGTAGTAGTACTGTGTCCATCACCCCATGCAGAGTCTTTGAGATTAGAGTGATAAGTACGGTACAGTAAATACATTGGATATTTTTTTTCTATTTGTAAGTTTATGCCAATTTCATATAGCTAACAAATGTAAAACACTAAAAAAACATCTACACAACACCTAAAAACAAGGTAATGCGATTATCCGGCATTTTTGAAAATCCAGCACTCCCTTCCCCTCGAAGCCGCCGGATAATTATAATCGATCGACTGTACAAACACAAATACACACATACACAAATACACACGCACAAAGGAAGAAACAAATCAAATGCACACACGAGTTAAATGGATTTTCTATAGGCAGTTCTGTTTCCTCCCACAAGAAAAAAATGCCAAATATGACAATGCATGATTCTTACAAGACAGCGCATTTGAGTAAGTTGCCCTCCAACTTTGGCATGGCAGGTGTAAATCTATAGATTTTCCACGGGTGGATTATCCGTGCTCATGGTTTAACGTTCATTGTGGTTTGACTATTGGATGCTCCTCACCCATGTGACCGAAAGCAAGTCGGCAAGAAGGCCAATTAGATTAACAATAATATTCCATGTCTCCACTGCTATCCTACATCGATCAACAATGTAACTTGCTGAACCCGCCACACTGGACATCTGTGAAAAAGAGCTTCATAGCTCATCGGATTCTTCTAGTCTAAATAAAGATTCTGATTCTTAATATGTAGGTTTGAAAGCATAATTTACATGTTTTTTTCATTATCTGCCTTTTATATTTAATCAGGGCCACCCGAAGGGTACCTCCTTCACATCAGCTTGAAATCATGAGTAATTTATGGGTTATGCATTAAGTAGAGCCTCACATTTTAACTGCTAAATTCTGTTTAAGTAGTGGATAAATACCTGGTACTGCAAACTCCAGAAAGTTTCCCAATACGAATCGTAAAAAAAATCGTATTCTTTAAAAAACGCACATTATTTATTTCCAAAACAAATTTAAACTACAAACTGTACTTTAGCGGCAGCCAGGTAACATGGGACATGGGTCCAACGATTCTCAGCACATGCAAAAACGTTGCATGTTTACTGGGTAAACGTTACCTAATGGCCCCGAGGATTACATGAGTGCTCCTTCACCGCACATGCATCATGTTTTTTTTCTTCTCTGTGATGCAAACTCAAGCCGTGCAGCAACATTGCAATGTGTATTACACACATTTCATTTAAATGTCATAATTAATCAAATGTCGTCACACTAGAACAGACGATGGAAAAGGGCCAGGGCAGTTACCCATCTTAGACGAGCTGAATGCAAGTCGACTCAGACGGCCAGGATGTGTTGTAAGAAGAGGAAACCCATGGCAAAAGGTGATGAAAATGGAAGCACTTAGGGCGGAGCGCAAGAGGTAGACCTATGCATTGGTGGTTGTATGTGGTGAACCAGGATATGTAGGACACATGAATGGATGTGGGGATGGTCCAGGGCAGAAATTATTGGAGAAAAGGATCAGGAATGCAGACCCCCCACCATTAAGGGAATAATACCAAAAGAAGACATATAAACGTCAAATGCAATTTAAAGTTTCTCAATTTGTAAAATGTGCAAGAAGCAGCTTATTTGGAGTGCTACCCGCAAAGGCTCTGTGACGCTTGCCTGTAAATGAACCACATTGTTGTCATTATTTAAATGTGCCACACCTTTTTGTGGGTACACCTGCCCCAGGGTCCATGGGGAGTTGTGCGCATCTGTGACGTGAAACCATGTGCCTAGCCCATGAGTCACTGAGCACATTAAACAAGGCAGCGCACAATACACCTTGGGGCGTTTCTCCCATTACTCTTTGACATCTCAAAATATTATTCCTTACTTTGGCGGCTTGAATATCGATATATTTCGTTTAAGTCCCGAGACTCCTAAATACTCCTTATTAATCGCTCAATTAGTGTTGAGCTATTGTATTGAACTCTACGAATACTAAATATGGCTCAGTTTGCCCATTTGAGTCGTGGTTGTTTCTGCTGTATCCCGACCAATGAGAGTTGTGCGGATTTAGCGGATGCTCTGCTTATGGACACAATAACCAAGCATGTCTTTTTTATTGGTGGGGCTGATGTCGAGGCTCCACCTCTTAGTGGCAAGCTCCAGTTTCAGCAATGTGATCATGTCAAGTTTTAAAAGTATTTTGTTTAATCAGGTGAGAACTCAAGAGATCAGGATGCAGTATTCTCATTTGCAAGCATGACCTGGATCACCAAAATGACACAAGAAAAACATAAAATACTGTATAGCAATGAAGGATATATAAACCACAGCAAAAACAACCGTGTCATATGAGAAATCGAAAATATTGCACGAACATAAATCAATGTTCGATAATACATTCCCTGCAGTGTAAGTTGGCTCGGTCATCTCACTCTTGACCAATAGGGAACCATCTTTTAATCGCCTCCCATTATATCTGCACCAGATGGAAATTCCACTTGTACAGCCAGAGAAGATTGATCGAACTAATGTATTGTATACAAGATGCAACAGTGCAGGTGCAAAGAGAATAACTCTTCTCACACCCCCTAAGTACACAATGAATAACTCTGACTCCTTGCCACACAATTTTAACCTGGGCCCACCCACATCAAAAATGTCCTTAATGATCATGAAGGGAGAGTCAATGACCCTGAAAACACAAAAAACAAGTAAAAATCCTGCTCGATTGAGTATGGCCTATTATAGGCAATGACCAGGTCAATAAAGCAGAGGTGTAGTAAGACGGTCCTGAATAAATGCCCTATATACCTCTGCTGTAGCAGGCGGGCACAGAGAATGTGTGGTCTGTCTCTGCAGGACTGCCCTGGTCTTACACGCTCGGGCTCTGAAAACCCACATACCCTAGAGGCACGGTGGACACGATGGTGTTGCATAACCCATCCTCCCGGAACACAAGAGGAGCGAGATTGCACCCGGTAGTGGTCACAATCAGTACGCAGTCCCCATTAAGGAAACCAAAACATGTTCTCTAATGTACACGCACAAATACATACACAATTGCACACAAACATAAGATGTCCATTTACACGTGTGCTTCGTATGCATGGTTGTATAGTTTGTGTATGTGTATAGCATATACAGTATGTACTTTTTGACTAAATGTACACAGGTTTCACTTCAAAGTACACATCGTGCTGGAGTAATGGTTTTGTGTATAAAGTACATGCACACGTGTACACGCAATGTACAATGTGTGTACGTATATCTTACGCTACAGAAACCCACTTAAACGCACGGCATGTCCATTGTATACGCACAAAAACAGTGCAGACGTGCATATAAACAGTGTACTTACAGAATCGACTACAGTACATATCAATATACAGTAGTATATTGGTTTATATCGTGGTACATTGATATGTAATGCAGCGTATACTGTCAGTACAACTACACTGTTATGTATGTCTATTAATATATATTCACTAACCTGCTTCCATTCCTCCCTTAAAATCAATCTCTCTCTTCTTCCCTAGCTAGCCCAGGGGTCGGCAACTGGACCCCTTAGTGATGCGCGTGAATTCCGCACCTTGAAATATCGAGGGTTAGTGGATTTTTTTTTCTCCTTCGTATGTACCGAACTCGAAAAATATATCTCTTGTGAAAAAATAGTAATGTTTTACCCTTTCTCTCAATAAAAAACACCTGGTTGGGCGGACCACCAAAACACCAGTTGTATTGCCAAAAAGAGTAAAAAAACCTATACTGTACTTATTCTTCATACTTTGATACTGGCAAACAGATCCCATGATGTGTCTTCTTGTTGTTACATTATTTTGGTTTCCAAGCACCAGGCGAGCTCATCCTACAAACTGCTTACTCGACTTGCTCCCAGATACGACGACCAAATACACCCCCCCCATCACTTCTTCCTGAAGCTCTCCCCGCCTGTTCCCCGCACTGTCATCACCATCTCACACAGCCAACTTTAAATAACCCCCCACCCCTACACCACTGCCATCTCACGTGCAGGGTTGCCAATTGCCGTAGAGCGCCTTGCTGTATACCGTGTACGCGAGACGGTACGGTGTGATATCCGCTGCCGCACACAAATCAACTCGGATACATGAGACACAGACACTAAAACACAGTTCTGTATACGCACAAACACACACTTACGTAATAAAACACGCGGTGCTGTATACACAGCACTTTATAGACTGTGTTCTGTTCATACACGCGCGCTAAGGGAAACGCGAACACGTGTGCACACGCACAACACAGTAACAACACGTTATGCCCTACTGCTTATTAAACATCAGCCATGCCGTGTCCACTGCTGGTTTGTTATAAGGCTGCCCACGTGGTGGGCCAAACGCCGTTCTTGTACTGTACTTCTACACTCCCGAGCCTTTAAACTACCACGCTACTGACGAGACCAGCATGGTGAAGTATGGTCATGAATTCTAGATTTGAAGCTTTCGTGACTGCAAGGATTCATACTCTCTGGTTTTATTCGGTAAAGTCACGTAGAACAGGTCCCTGCAGGGTGGGCTGGTAGGACAAGTCTCTGCGCTGTCTATTGCTGATTTTACACCCAACAGCACGAGATTTCACTTCGTTAAAGTATTGAAAGGGTACGGACGGACGGACACATTAATCTATTGCAGTATAACTTTTCCACCTGAAGACGGAAGCTTGTGTTGCCTCCGAAACGTCGTGATTTCATTATTTTATTTTATCTACGTGACTTTACCGAATAAAACCAAAGAGTATGGTCATGAAGCCTGCCACGATCTGAATTAAATTCACAGCGAGGCAGAGGAATATCAAAAGGGCCCGTACATACACATATCAGTGCAGTACATCACATTTAACGATGATATTCCAAAACCATGAATCTGCTTGGCACAGCAAATCTCATCCGACCTGCCATGGAATGGGGCTGTGTTACTAATCTGGCTAAGTCAGGCATCTCTAAGAAAATCGTGTTTCCCTCCCTGTGCCAAAGCGTTTCGTCCTCAAATGTGAACAATTATGTGCTCCTGCTTGCTATACGAACACAATTCCTGCCGTACAAATCACACATTTCAGCTGTGGCCCACTGCCGGACTTACGGTGTCAAATTTAAACAGGGCACCGTTCAAATCACTCACTCCATTCCCGCTCACTCACCCGGCGGCCACTCGCCTCCCTGTCACTCTTCTACAGCTGCTACCATGATGGTTGTTTAATATTCCACGTGAACTTTACTCGTTGATTGCCCCGAATCACGTTGAGGCCTCGGGTCTACCCGCAGACTGGTTCATCTCATCCCATACTGTGCTCAACCAATACAGGCCACAACACACTAGCCCGCCCGCTCGCCCGCCCCCCCCACCTATTCACTAACTTCGCGACCAATATTATCCGGGAGGTTTTTGGGTTAGAGAGCGTAAATAAATATATATCAATGTGTCGTTAAACCCACCACCACCCGACACGGCCAATTAGTAAGCTTCGTCAAGCAAAACAGAACGCGCCAATTCGTCACTAGTACGGCGCACGTGTTGTGTGTTTGGGAGAGTAAACCCACGGCAACATTCGCAATTAAAGTACCGTGACGCTTCGCCCCGTAACAACACCACCACTAGCACCAGCACCACCACCAGCACCACCACCAGCAGCAGCATCAGGCGACAGGCAGAGACGAGTGGCGAAGTCTTCTCTGAGAAGTCGTCCCGTCATCCAGCACACAGCAGGCCAAGGCACCCCCCCCCCCACTCTTTCTGCTCCTTCCCTCGCACTTGCTCCACTTTGCGATCCCCTCCATCATCGTCTCGTCTCATCCCCCGCCTCATCCCCACGAAACCTCTCGTAATGAGAAAAAAAAACGAATCTTGCTCAATTGGAAAAAAAATAAAATGTAACCGTACGAACTCACGACCTGCAACTCTGACACGGGTGACCCGCTTGCCGCTCGCCGTTTCGGGGACTCTAACCCCGTGTACGTCACGAAACGCCTTAGGACCGGCGGGATAATACTATAACACAACGGAGTAAACATATAACGTACTCACGATATCCCACAACGCGGCGAAACGTCGACAACCACGGAGCTCTTCACCTCGTTAAGACGTCGACGCGACTCCTGGAGGACTTGCGCGCTCGTTCGCCCGGGGATGTGTGTGGGGTAGAAGAATGTGTCTCGTGGAGGGCAAGAGGTGTGTAGCAGCAACAACAACAGCAACAACAACAGCAGCAGCAAGACAACGACACGAGACCAGAACGACTGCTCAAAGACGGACAAAGTTGCACAAGACAAACAACAAAAACAACATCCACGTATCCGCGTACACCCACGAATCGATTCCTTAAAACCGAAACGCGATTTAAACTACGCGTCGATTCCTCCGCCGGCACTCAGAATTAAAGAATCGATTCGATGACAGTCGCAACTGCTTCGTAGATTCCGATTCCCCGACCGTGGTAGCTCGTTCATAATGGATGGGGTAACGATGCAGCTCCTTTGTGAGGCTGCGCTGTTGAACTAATTGCCTCGGTGTGAACGCTTTGCGGGGCAGCGGTTCCATTTACACGACCCCGTGGTTTAATCATTCACAGCGGGTAGCCAGAGCCCAGCTCGGGGCTTTGCGCAATCACGCTCGTGAACTTAAAACAAGCATCGCTCGTCCGTGGACATTGCCAGCAGGATCATACTCACCACACACGTGGCACGACTCATCGCTGGGTGATAATACTCAACCGTGATAACTCACCACACATCACCACTACTCACCACCAAAACACATCAATCACCTGATAATACCACCAATACCCATCAATCACCTGACATTACTCACCAAACACACCTCACTGAACATTCACCTTTCATTACTCGGCTTATACTGGTAGGAACGAAGTTGTAAACTGAGTGTACCAGCCTGCAATAGATTAATGTGTCCGTCCGTCCGTCCCCTTTCAATACTTTAACGAAGTAAAATCTCGTGCTGTTGGGTGTAAAAAAAATTCCAATGTTCCTACCAGCCCACCCTGCAAGGACCTGTTACCGACACGCCAACAAATGTCTCTATAGCTCCACCAAAGTTCACTCTCCTTAGTGGTTTATCACTCTTGTGATGCCCCCCCCCCCTTACACGACATATTCACCTGACCTTCACAGTACTCTCACCAGACAGTAGCACTCACCACTCTCCTGACACACTCACCAGACACCCACCACTCACCAAACACTCGCCTCGTGGCACTCACCAGACAGACACGCACATTACGCAGTGCACATGACCCTTGATGAGCGCTGACTAGTGAACTAATGAGCGATTTGTGTGGCCGTGGTGGGCTGGGTGCCAGTGACCGAGCAGCTCTCCGGAATGGCAGGGCCTCGTACCAGAAACGTCGGCCAACTTTCAAGCGTCTCCTCGTGCGGTCAAACAAAGCCGCGCGGTGGAGGTTCTTTCATCCAGCGGTGGACTGCACAAAACAAATCAGTACGGTTCGAATTACTCTTTTAGATGCAGACAAATAGGACCATAAACATTTAGAAGGATTCAACCAACCAATGGCTGTCCGCGATCATTACACCTGAGGGTCATTGCTGTCAGTTACCTGCCAGGCATCGTTGCTCTGTGGCAGCCACCACCATCTGGAACGCCATCATCCCCGCTGCACATTCGCAGCACTCAATCCATGCCGACCTTTGAGACGCCGTACGCTTTTAAAAAGTTCCCCCACCTATTTCTTGCAAGTCCCAACCTCTTTAGCCTGGCTTTCGAGGGGCACCGAGTTTGGCTCCACGCATCTCGAGCCATGGACATTGATGTCCGTGACTTTTTGTGCGCATTACAAATTGCATTATTATTTCTTTTTATATACAAAACATCTGCTCTACTTTCATGATTGCAAATGCGTGAATCCTCGTGTGGGATGAAGCTTGACAGTTGTTTCAGGGATGATTAACGTAGGGCACACATGTCAACTCCCAAATACTCATTAATGGCATTGGGTGAATTGGCCAAACAATCCCAATGCAGGACAAACATGGGAGCTTGACCTTGCTTCAAGGGGGACATACAAAGGTTCATCAATGGGGGGAGGGGGGCATGCAGAGCCTAATTAAACACAACATCCACCAGACAATACCTCAGAACCGTCATAAAATGTAAATAAATCATTTAAAGCTGCAGTATATTGGGGGGTAAAACACTGATACCAATGATTGAAAATAAAAATGAGATTCTATAAGTACGGATTGAAGTGCCAATGCAAACCCGTGCCCGTGGGCACTTTTTATTTGGCTCTGGTGGCAAAACAGCTCATATTGAACAAACCTGAAATGACTGTTAAACGCTTAACCGAACGAATAACCCATATACTGTATGATGTTTTTGTCTCTCGTGCATTCTGTTCTGGCGCTCATACCCGGTGTATATGAGGAAAGGCTAAGACGCCCGTCACCTACTTGTGTTCATGTTTATGCCAACATCTTTTGACTCAACGATAACATTGTAGCTGGGGGGCTGAGCCTTGATAAAGGAAGGTGGGGGTCAGCCCCCCAATGCGCTCGGGGTTGTGCAGGACTCTCCTGAAAATAGCGCTGAGATACAGTGAGGCTTTGTTGGGAGAAATAAAAGGCATTTCATTTGCAGGAATATGGATTCTCCACTGCTGGCTCTGGGTTGCCAACAAGAGTAAAGAGACACGTTTGAACTTTGTATATACCACAGGTAAAACAAATGATAAATGAGTATAACCTGCCGTGACATGGTACAGAACCAGACACTGACAATTAATATGAGACAAAGATATGAAAAGTGCATAAAGAAAGATTACAGAAAGAGGAACATATGAATCAAAGAAGACATAAAAGTTAACATCATGTTGAGTTAAGAAAAACATGTGGACTGGGGCAGGACACGTCACCATATGGCATGATGGAAAGTGGTCAAGACTCATGACGCCGTGACAGCCAAAAGAGGGAACACATCCCAAAAGTACGTCCAACACAGAGATGGAGCAATGGAATATAATACAATTTTATATTTATAGAGCATCTTCACTCAATGCACTTAAAAACGGTGAGAGAATAGGAATATTTAGATGGCAGGGGAGTGCAAGGATTGAGGAATGAGTGACCGCAAAAGAGGGTGCTTCGGCATCACGAAAGGGTAGGGGAAAGACGAAAAGGGATGAATGGCGAGGCGAGGGAAAAGAATTGGCAACAGAGAATAGGCGAGCTTAAAAAGAGGAACGGAGGGGAGGTTCAGGAGCGGGGGCTGCTAAATGTAGAGCGAAATCAGCTCATGTGCAGGATATAGATAAGTGGTTCTTAAAGGTTTACTCCAGCCTTGCACCCTTGGTTCTCGGTCGCAAAAAAAGTATGTTAATAAACACGTAGGTTTGATGAAACAATGTAGTTGTATTCTTAGCTCTTTCGGTAAAGTCACGTTGAAGGAAAACAATAAAATAATAAAGAATATATAAAACAATAAAAATTCTCACGACGTTTCGACCATAACACAAACGGTCGTCATCATATTTTATTATTTTATTGTTTTCCTTCAACGTGACTTTACCGAAAGAGCTAAGAATATGAATTACTGCAGTCACGAAAGCTTTAAATCAAAATTTAATGTAGTTGTACTTACGTGCCCGTGCTTGATTTGTGTTGCGATGATTTACCTTAAAAAAAACAATCTGGCATGTCTTGCACCGCCAGAAAGGGCATCTCGCACCCCCAGGAGGTGCGTGCACCCTAGGAACCACTGACCTAGATGGACTGTTGCAACGCAGGGTCCACGAGGGATGGCAATAGCTTGTGTCGACCTGCACCCAGCAGTGGATAGGCCATGGCTGATTATGATTATTTGTATGAATGAACTCTCACCAGGTTACCATGTAAGGTGTCTGACCCACGTGCCCGATCGCTTGACCCTTTACCTTGGAAAACTGGATCACAGGGTGAGCCCAGGAAAAAAATATATATACATTACGGAATTTTCCAAATGCAGTTCCATTTGTGATATCTGTTGGAAAGTACTTCCTTATTTACAATATTATCCGGGATTAGAGCTCACGGCAGTGGGTGGCTCATAAAGCCAGATAACATCACAGTCTGCGTGATTACACGGATTAACACTACAGCCGTGGTCACATGGCAGAATTTTACATTTGAGACTACCCGGTGAGGTATTATCTGCCTTGATCTATTCACTGCTAGATTATGAGGTTCCCATGCCGTCGCCATCTGTCATGGTCTTGCAATGCTACTCCGTTGTTATTCTCGACCACCGGAAAATCCCTTCAAGTCACTACGATGCCTTTACCCTGCGTATGTGTCCTAATCCAAGACACTGAGTCAGCACTGTTGAGATCCTGGGTTCAACCTTCGAGTCTGTGTGTCTTACCTTTGATATGGCTCATTATGGATGTGTCAACAGAAAATAAACTTTTCAATCAGTGCACATTTGCAGCTATGACGCATGGATTGAAAATATGGAAACATAAAACTGAATACATAAAGCATGGAGAGATGTATACTTAGATTCAAACTAGAATACAGAAAATGAACAAATGGATCTGAGACATGACTTTTGAGAAAATTTAGTGGGCTTGGACTAGACACATCATTTCGATTTAAAGTTTTCGTGACTGCAGGGATTCATATTCTTGGTTCTTTCGGTAAAGTCACGTAGAAGGGAAATAATAAAATAATAAAAACCAAACATAACATAATAAAATTATCACGACGTTTCGGCCACAACGCAAGCAGCCGTCTTCAGGTGAAGAAACAGAACAGTCGGAAAGACAGCATCTTGTTTCTTCACCTGAGGACGGCTGCTTGCGTTGTGGCCGAAACGTCGTAAGAATTTGTATTATATTGTTTTATTTTATTATTATTACCCTTCTACGTGACTTTACCGAAAGAACCAAGAATATAGACACATCATGGCTAGAAGGTCAGATGGCCAGCGAGCGATACGTTTGCACTTTGTTTACTGGGCCATTTGTCTTTCCAGGCCAGTATAATCCGGCAGCATTTGTTGAAACAAACTCTGTACGGTCCTGGCTTTCGACTTTCTGGGTTTCATCAGCAGAGTCGAGGTTTCTTGAACCAATGCTTCTGTCACCAGGGTGTTATTGGCAAGATAACTCCATCTATCTAAACTATGGGGCCCTGTTAAAGCAAAAAATGCAGTCAGGACAGAAACTCATTGGTTGCCTATTCCTGTGGAAAACTATACGTAAAATAAAATATAAGCAAACCTCTGTCTCCACACATACAACGGTATAGTCTATCTGCGTATTTGCTTTCTAAACCAATGATAATATATTTGTTTTGTTTGTGATGCCGCCACTGCGTTGGTGCACAAGCGCAAATAACAACAACA